TAATTTTCATTTGTAATTAAAATCTTTCTAATTTTAAACTCAAAACTCCGGAAAATTTTAAATAGTGAAATTTTAGAGGAGATATAAAAAAGAAACAAAAAAAATTATTTTTCGAATACAAATTTTGTGCAATAAATAAGATTATTAAATAAGTCAAAATTTGAACTTCTGTCCAATTTGTTCAGCTGTAAGCTTTCTTTCTTTTTTATTAAGTTGTGAATTTTTTTATCTATTTTTGAAAACAAATTGTGAATTTTTTAATTTAAAAAATATTTTTTATTGTCAAAAGAACATAAATGGGTCGTTTGCTATTAACAATCAATTTACGAAACATGATTTTAATTTCGAACCTTCAAAAATAATAAATTTAAAGCTTAAAAAATATCAATTATTTCTTTCATTTCTTTGGGTTTCTCGTCTTGTTCATCATTTTCTTTTTCGTCTTAAACTTTAGAAATGATGGAAATAATTTAATCGTTATACAGTTATAAATTTTTAAGGATTAAAGATAGCGATTGTCAAACAAATGAAACATGTGAAGCAAAAATTTTAATAAAATAAATCAAAAAATTTTTTTTTTTTATTAAATATTATTATATAAATTTATTATTTTTCAATTATAAATACATCTTTGTTTCCCTCCTATAAATTCCATTACATTCCCATATCCCATCTCATCCCATCCCATCCTTAATTAAAAATTAAAAAAAAAAATAATGAGAAATTATTCAAAAAATCAAAAACCAAAAATCAAATTAAATCTATACCATAATATCCTCGCTCCTGATTTTCTTTCTTCAAATTCCAATCTTCATTCCACTACGTCCGTCCGTCCGTCCGCCGCTTGATAATTTTTATTAGAAAATTAGTATAATCAAATTAGTTAGTTTCAAAAAAAAAAAAAAAAAAAATTTAAAAATACACACTAACCATAATATCCTCGTTTCCGATTTTCTTTCTTCGGATTCTGCCGTTCCGTCCCTCCGCTTGAGAATAGTAAAAAAAATATACAACAGGACACACCGAGGGTTATCCCACGATATATTTATTTTTACCGCCTAAATCAGACTGGCCGCTTGGAACTACATAACCGAAACCGTCTCCAGTATCAGTAGACCTCGGCCAAGCAACCAGTCTGGAGAGTTTCGTTAAAGAGAAGTTTTAGAGAAGTTTTTCATATTAGTATATGGTCCCAAAAAAATACTTACAAAAAG